CCCCTAGCGCACGTGCCCGCCCCCACAGCGCACAGGCCCCCGCCACCGGAGCACGCGCCCCCACGGCGAACGAGCCCCCCATCGGCGCACCCGCTAGCCCCCACAGCGCATGGGTCCCCATGGCGCACGAGCCTGCTCCCACGACGAACTACACCCCCACCCACGGGGCACGTCCCCCCACCCGGTGTAAGCCCCCGCCCCCACGGCGAAAGAGCACCCCCAACCGCGCACGCGCCTCTGCCCAATGCCCACGAGGCTACCCACCGAGCACGCGCCCCCCCCCTCCTCAGGCGCACGCGCCCAGACCCCTGGCGCCCGTGCGTGCCCCCACAGCGCAGGAGACCCCTTAAGGCGAACACGGGCCCTCCCCCTCCCGGCGCTGGCGCCCCCCCACTCGGGCGCACGCGGCCCTCCCTCCTGCTCACGTGCCCCACCTCCCCCTGAGCTGATTGCTTCTGCGTGGTGTTTATCAGAAGCAGACGTTTCTCTTGGTGCACACTACAGCGCAGATGCGCCCCCAACCCCTGCGCAGGCGCCCTACTCTGGGGCACGCGCCCTCCACCCGGGGCACGAGTTCCCCCACCCCCATCGCATGCGCCTCCCCCCTAAGGCGCACGCGCCCCCCTCCTAAGGCGCACACGCGCCCCCCCTCCTAGGGCACAGTCATTTCTGTACAAATCAAAGTTGACACTGGAATATTCTCTGTGTTGCAATAGTATGTTACTAATTAAAATCTGTCCTGATCACTTTAGTTTCTGGCTTTGTTTATCTTTGATACTACCACCAACCGCAACATGTATCCAAATCTTCTAGATGCTACTGTGTTGTTCAGATGGCAAGTCCCAAAGGAAATATTGTGGGGAAAAATGTCTGCATTTGCTGCGTTAGTGGGTTGAAATTTTAACCTTGTTTTGCTTCTCACCCAATACAATTATTTCTTTTGATGTCACCTTGAAGTTGTTTTGCAGCAAGTAAAAACAAAAAAACAGCAACAAATATAGATGTGAAAAAGCATGTTGTCCACCAATACTTTTACAGACCAAATGCCAGCCTAGGATGACAGAACTGATCCTAAAGATGATGAATTGCTGAAGACACTAGAAGGTTAAGTTAACCCTCCAGAACTCACCTTGTGTCCTGGCTACTTAGGAATTCAGGAAAACAGCAGTGACAAGAAAGGTAGTACAGGAAGAATTTTGAAGGCGACAGGCTTCCTCATTTCACGTTTTCTAAAATAAGACTGCACACTGTCATTACAGATTTTCACTCTTGAAGCCTCGTCTCTGTGACTCCGCTTAAGGATGGTGGAAGGGTCCAGGGCTTCTGTTCAGGGACATGGGCTGATTGCTTCTGCGTGGTGTTCATCAGAAGCAGAGGTTTATGTTGGTGTACACCACAGCGCAGGCGCACCCCCACCCCTGGAGCACGAACTCCCACACCCCTGGCGCACGCGAACCCCCCACCGGCGCACAAGCCCCCACTGCTCACGAGCCGCCCCCCGGCGCACGCTCCCCCACCCCGGAGCAGGCGACCGCCCCCGTGGCGCACGCACCCCTCACCCTCCGGCGCACGCTCCCCCATGGCGCACGAGCACCCATGGCCCACGAGACCCCCCCGGCCAACGAGCCCCCACCCGGCGCACACGCCCACCCCCACGGCGCACGCATCCCGCTCCCACCCCCCCGGCGCACGCGCCCTCCACCAAAGCGTACGTGCCCCGCGACCCTGGCGCACGCGCCCGCCCCCACGGCAAACGAGCCCCCTCAAGGCACACGCGCCCACCTCCCCTGGCGCACGGGCACCCTCCCGGGCGCACTGGCACCCTCCTGGGCGCACGAGCCCCGAAGGCGCAGGAACCTCCCCTGGCGCACACGTCCGCACCAAAGGCGCAGGAGCTCCCTCAGGGCGCCCGCGCCCCCCTCCCCAGGCGCACGCGCCCAGCCCTCTGGAACAGGCACGTGACCCCACAGCGCACGAGCCACCTCATGGCGCACGCGCCCCCCTCCACCAGCGCACGCTCAGCTTCCCTGAGGCATGCACTCCTACCGCGCACGCCCCCCCTCCCCCCCCGGCACACGCTTACCCACACCCTGGCGCACGCGCCAGCCCCCGCGGCACACGCGCCTACCCCTACTTTGCACGCGCCCACCCCCGACCCTCGCGCCCCCCCAGCGCACGTGCCGGCCTCCACAAAGCATAGGCACCTGTCCCCAGTGCACGCGCCCCAACGGGGCACGCCCCCTTTCCGGCTCACTCCCCCGCCCCCACGGAGCACGCGCCCGCCCCCAAGGCGAACGAGCCCCCCCCAACGGCGCACGCGCCTCCTCCCACGGTGCACGAGGCCCCCCACCGCGCTCGCCACCCCCCTGCCCAGGTGCACGCACCCAGCCCCCCTGGCGCACCTGCCGACCCCCACTGCGCACAAGTCCCCTCACGGCGCACACGCAGCCCCCCGGCGCATGCGCACCCACCCCCCCATAGCACGGGCCCCCCCTCGGGCGCACGCACATTCCCCTCTGGGTCACGCGCCTTACCTCCCCCCAGTGCACGCGCCCCCTGGCGCAGCCCACAGTGCAGTGGAGCGGAGAGAAGGTTCCTTAACAGTTCTGCTGCGTTAGTATCTGCTTTCCTGGTGAAATAGGGAACAGGCAGGCCACCTCTTACTGCAAGGCCAGGGGAGCATTTCAGTTGCCAGCCCAGACAGAATGGCAGGGGCTTTGAATTTGTCCTTTTCAAGATGTAGGATATCCGGTGATTCCGGAGCAAGGAAAGGGAGGGGGTTTATGTTTGTTGTTTTCATGCAGATGGCCTTTTCTTCCTCTGGGGGATAGACAGGACTTATGAGACAGATTACCTTATTGGTAATTCCAGACAGGTTGATTAAGATTCCGTTTCTGGGAGAAATTGAAACAACAGTTGGATCATGTATTAAATCTAGTTTTGGGTTCATGAGCTTTTGGGCTTCCCTGATAGCTCGATTGGTAAAGAACGTGCCTGCCAATGCAGGAGACACAAGAGATGTGGGTTCGATACCTGGGTTGGGAAGACCCCCTGGAGTAGGAAATGGCACCCCACTCCAGTACTGTTGCCTGGGAAATCCCACGGACAGAGAATTCCGGCTGGCTACCGTGCATGGGGTAGCGAAGAGTCAGCCAGGACTGAGCACCTGAGCACAGCACATCTCCCTAGAACCGGAGACTGGGGAGAGTGGCATGCTATCTGTCTTACCCCCTTCTGGGTTCCCAGTGTGTACCAGGTGTGACAGTGAATCAGTGCTCAGTACATGTGTCTTTTACATTTGGTTGACAAGGCACAGTTTAAACCACCGGTGAAGAAATATGTTGCCTGTCAAAGTGGCAAGGACTTCAAAAGTTAGGACCACTGTTGCCAAGGACAAGATCACAGCAGCATTCTCTCACACTTCCAGAGAGAGTAGAGTTGTCTTTCTGGAAAGCAACTTGGCAATAGGTGTCCAAACCTAAAAGGGTTGGTTGGCTTGCCTTTGAGCCAGCAATTCCTCTTCTGGTCATTGATCCCCTAAACTAAAAGGCTTACCAATGGTGTTGAAGGGAGAGCAGAGCTTGCCACACCAAAATATTCCTGTTTGGCACATTGATCATTTGGGGCTGGTTATTTCTGAGACGGTACAGACAGAGGAGAAGCTCTGAAAACCAAGTAGAAGTTACTCTTTGATAAGATACCTTTACACTTCTAAGGGAAATCTCCATTTGCAAGGGTGTCTCCTGCTCTCAGAAAGGAGGGAGTGGGGGATGGATGACTTTATCTCCTGAAACTCTTGTTGTTGTTGTTGTTGTTTTTCCTGAAACTCTTTATCAGTGAAGAATGTCTTAAGTTTGCATGGCAACTTTACCCTTGTTTACTATGTCTTTCCTGGTTCCCTCTCTTAACCGCCCCCCACCCCCAATACCTCCTTTTGTCTTTAGCTGGAAATGGTATTTAATGTGGTAGTTTCAGCCATTTGGGTGAGTTACTCAGGCTTCCTAGGTCTCTCCTGTGTATAAAGGAGGTATCTATGTTTTTAAACCTGCCTTTCTCCTGTGTATTTGTCTTTTATTATGGAGGGGGGAGTCTCAGTCAAGAATCTAGGAGGGCAGAGGGAACTTTCTTTTTCCTCTCTACAGTAGGCATAGAAATTGAATCTCTATGAAGTATACTGCCCATGTCTTTTGCAATAATTAAATACTAGAAAGTAATGCCATAGAAGAATGAATAACACCTGGGAAAGATCTTTGCAAGATTTTATTTCAACATAGAAACAAGATAGTATGTGGATAAATGTTACATTTACATTTCATTTATGTTTAAGTAGATGGGGAAAAAAATGTAAGCAAAATGCTATGAAGCTCTGAATGGTTATCTGACATACAGGGTATCCGCTGGTTTTGATTTTCTACTATTGGTCTATCTATATTTTCCAAATGTTCCCCCACTTTTATAATGAGGCAATTAGAATTAAATAGAGCATCTTTGCCCCCTGGTGGTTTAGTCAGTAATGGTACTTAGTCTGAGGAGGGAATATTGTATCCACTCAGACAGAAGAGCAGATACCACTGCAGGCTTTATTCCCAAGGCAGAACTTTCAAAATTCCCAAACCTTTTGCTAGGACAAGTGGTTGTGTCCTACAAGAGCAGTGCTGTGAAACTCACAAGAGAGTTTCATATTGTCCTCGTATTGACCATGTGGGGACTATATGCTCTCAGCTGCCATGGGACAGAAACAGCAGGAGCAGGGAGAGAGAAATAGGTTCTGGGATCAGCGGGGCACTGGAAGCAGGGCCTTTGCCATCAGAAGGCTAAAGAGGGCAGGCCGTTGGAGTCGGTGTGGCGGCCTTGGGTTGGAGGGGTGGGCACCCACGAAAGTGGGAGTCCAGGGCAGAATGGAATTGGTGACTGTGTGTGGGGGATCAATAAGAGGGTGGGCACCCCAAAGAGCACTCGGGGTGAGTGAGGGGTGGTAGTGTGCCCTGCAGGGGTACCCAAGGGAGCAGAATACGGGGAAGGTTGAGAGATCTGGGCTGGGCCTGTGACCCCTGGATCTAGCCAGACAGCCTCTTCTGGCCCATGACCTTCTTTGTCATGATGTCAGGGCACCCTCCCTGCATTTCTGAGGGGTTCAGCTTTTCCTAGGATCCCCAGAGGAAGAGGAAAAATCCCCAAAATAATGGTTTTCAAGCTTTCTGTGAGTCATGATTTCAGGGATCCCTTTCAACCCAACTCCTACTACACAGTTTCATGTGAAGGGCCTGGAGCACCCCATAGCATTGATATACTGTTCCATAAACTGCTTTTATTATGTGCTGTTTTTCCATGACTGAAAACATGAGCAGTTTTTATTTTGTTTTGCTGAATGTGATTCTGACTGACCCCTTTCTCTCCAACTTCAGGGCCCATGGATGTGTGTCTACTTTTGTTTTTCGGCTCATCGCTGCTCATATCTGCCTGTTGGAGAACTTTTGTGGTCACTACAGCTCACCTGATGGAAGGCTTTTGTCACCGAAGTAGGGGGGGCATCTGGTTTGGCACCTACAGGAAGCCACCCTGATTGCAGGATTTCCAGGCTTCTCCTACATGTAAGTCATCAATAAACATGACATGGCAATTAAGAAAGAA